GGCTTCATCGTTCAGCTAAAAATTTTTAGGATCCAAATTATTATTATTATTATTGGAGACGCTTTTCATCATCACCAGTTTGAAGTTACATCTAAATTTACAAGAAAACCTCGTGGGTCATTGGAGAGTCCTATAGAGTTGAAACGGTGTTACGTCACACTGCGTTTATCTAATTTAAGCCATCGGTATGCTTAAAATACATTTCCTCCGTCTAGTTTATTAACCCTACGATACTGCGACGCCATTTTTTATTATGTGGTAAAACGTAAGAAAATATCGGCCGAAGTCTCAATTTATAGATTCGATTGTTGATGCGTGTTCTGTCCACAAGCAAAAAAGTGTGTTAAGGCGGAAATGAACAAATATATATATATATATATATATATATATATATATATATATATATATATATATATATATATATATATATATATATATATATATATATATATATATATATATATATATATATATATATATATATATATATATATATATATATATATATCAATTTTTGATATTAATTGCCTTTGTTGGATCTATTTTGCAGTACGCTAGAGTTTTAGTTAGTTTAATGTTAATGAAAAATAATTAAAATAATTAAAAACAGTAAAAATTATATATAAAAACGCATTTAAAATCTTTGGTAAAGAGAATGGTCGGCGTCGGTGATAAATCAATAAATATAAATATATATATTTTTTTATAATTTAGTTTTTTTATTTTTCTTCAACTTTCATTAACTAAAAATTGTACCAAATCTAGTTTGGCAAATCTGCATTATTTCGAAGAGAGAAACAAAGATCTGCTACATAAATTTAACTGTTTTTAACCTTAAACAGTCCTTAGCAGTCCTCATTACGAAGTTTAGCTTCAAAAAAGAACCACATTTATTGAAATTTAACACTTAAATGTCAAATTTCAAAAAAAAAAAAAAGTGAACAAATATTACAGGTCTCTGTAATTTATTTAATTTTTCAACGCGTTAGCAATGCAGGTGAATTACGAAAAAATAACTTCTTGTTTAACTTACTTTTACCACCCTGTATTAAATAAATTATTAAAGAACGTCTATGCAAAGAAGTTTTTTATTTTTATATATTTATATATACACTCTGTATATATATAAGCATTTTCGAATTCCTCGGAACTTTCTTGGCCTACTTCACTATACCGAAGTCTTATCAGTTCTGGGCAATTTTGAATTTGTCAAATGTCAAAGTGCAGGTTAAATCTATCTATTATCTATCTATCTATCTATTATTTACTGATAGAATGATTATTTTAATGGTCTATATAGATATTTTGAAAGTAAAAAAACAATAATTAAAAAAAAAAAAAATTAAATGGAAAAATCGTATAATGGTGCTTGTTTCACAAAGTTGTCAAAATATTAGCAATAAAACGTTATTCTATTGTAAAAAAAAATGAAATTTATTAAAAGGATACGCAACATTCAGACATTATCTTTGTAATGGTACCAGAGAGGACAAAAATACATTTGTTTAACTGAATCCTGGATACTCGTAGCACATATCGACATTTGTTTATTATTTAAACACGATTTAATTAACACAATCTGTTGGAAATTCAAAAAAATTTTGAAACATGCCATGACTTAACAAAAATTGCGAATAAAGTTGAGCAGACACAAACGGGAACTTGTTTGTTACCTTCTGTAGCAAATCTTGTGCCGAATTCTGAAACACCCCGTATATTAGAAGTTGTTATAAACGGATATGTATATGGTGTAAATACACATGATTTTTATGGTGCAATATGAAAATATTCCCGTGCGTTATCAACGCGCATATTGCGATTACGTTTTTTTTTATCGCAACGCAAACACCTATCGGAAGATTTAGACCGAAAAATTCCGACGAACAAAAAAAAAATCCCCGCAAAATTACTCATCGGGAAGCCGTCGACCGCCGCACCCACGGTTTTTCGATGGATTTTTTTTTGGTCCTGCACTCGTGTACTCGTTTTTGCCAAACCCACTTCCCGTACGATTAAACTATAAATATGCAATATTATTTATTTTAAATGAACAAACGAATAAAATCAGAATCACCAAGATATTATTTTTTCTGCAGATTTCAAATTTTGAGAATTTATCTTGTTGCAAATTCAAAAAGACGGTCAATTCGTTTCGATACTAATTTGGACCCATAAATCGAATTTTCAGGAGAGGGAATATAAATAGAAAAATACGCCTGACGAGATATAGATTTCTAGATATGTATTTGCCCTAATATCAAAAAATCAGGGGCGGTATTTTACTTATGACCCAAATGCTCTTATCGGTGAGCGGGAAACTTTCTGGTATCAGTTAGATGCGACACAAATACCTAATTTTCATGTGTTTTATCTCAAACGATCTCGAATGTTTGATGATCGCTCCCCATGGCGCTTGGAGTCCTCCGCTGTCACCTGATTTGACGCCACTTGATTTTTATTGGTCAAAAGTAAAGTGAATACCAGAGAAGAATGATTTTAGAGGGTACAAAGAAGAATCGAAATGTGCCTTCACATATAGAACATCTTTGATAATTCAATTTTACCTTTTTTTGTAACTTAACTAAGTTAAATTTCATTTTCTCTTCTTTCCGAAACGCAAGAAGTTCGTTTCAATATTCTTCAATTGTCTCTTTTGTATGTATGTAAACGCGACAGGTTCTCTCCAGCACTTTGTAATATTCACCGTGAATACAAAACAAATTGAGAATATCAGCATTTGAGTATTCTATTCTGAAAATGGGAATGTTTGCGGCCTAGTTTTGGACACCCTGTATAAAAGTAGGCAACAACAAAACGTGCTCCTTTTGCCATTTTGCCAAATATGTAAAGTTTTAAGTTCGCTAGCGAGGTGTAAATTTTGAATTTCGCACAGAATCTAAAAATATAATAATACTACAAGGTTGAAATAAGAAAGTTGACAGCAATTTCCGGTTCAGCCACAAGTGATAGGAAGTTGAAAATGTTTTTAAAAAGTGCATTTGGCACTTGACCCAACCGTAAAAATTAATAGGCGTTTCTAAATTACACCTCAATCAATTTTGCCAACAAAGACAGGCCAAAGAATTCCTCAGAAGTCCGTTGGCCAAATTTACAGCAGAGCTGCTACAAAAGCAAGGCCGTCTACTGAAGAACTATTACCAGCTTTAGAGGTATCTAAGCCCACTGGGGCTAAAAGGAAACACAGGTTTTGCTGGCCATAACCAAAACGGAGACGACCTACACCGATGAGCTACTATCGAAGCTGTGCGTGCAATCTAATCTGCCTGACATGTTTTTAATATTATTAAATTTTCAGCTCTTGATATGTTAAAAATTTGGATTAGGTCTTTATAAGTATTACATTTAGTAACTTTTACAAAATTATTGGGGAATTGTCGTCGAGATACATAAATAAATACATCTTTATGGAGCTATAAAGAGTGACAATAGACCCTTTGGATTGCGTTCAACTCCCCTAAGTCGAACTTTTATGAAGATGCAATAATTTTGCATATGGCAATATTCCTGCACGAGTCAGATTCATTTGCAATAAGTGAAGAAGAGATAAGGGATGATCCGAAATATGACGTTTCATGAAGTTATCGTCAACTTTGACGTTTTTTGAGTTCCGTATTAAGGGCGTGTGTTCTTACACATTGCACTGAATGAAAAATATATACAATAATTTTAATTTTTAGAAAAAGTATCGCCGGGGTAGTTTAATTCTGGTTTGCCATGACCCCACAGCGACCTGAATAAATAAAATTTTCAGATATGATATTCTGAAACCAACGATTGGTTGTTGTTATCCTCGATGTTATTGTTTTTTAAAGCGAGGCTGTTGATATCGCAGCGTTAGGACAGTCCAAAGTGAGGATTTCAAAGATAATAAAACAGTGGCGGAGTTTTTTTTTCACGTCAAAAAATTGCTCCTGCACATCATTTTTTAAAAATGTCCGATTTGTATTAATTTTCTCTGTCCAGTCTCTAAGATTGGCTGTTAAAGTTTTATGGGTACCTCCGTGTGATTAGAAAAAACTACTTATTAAGCGAAATCACATCAAGTACAAATAATTTTGTTGTGAAAAAGCATAGGATGATTTTTTTTCCACCCACGGGTAAGAAGAAATTGTGGAAAATCAGAAATTTTTCGATATCTTAATATTATACAAATATCTGAAAAATAACGTTGTTTAGTTTTGGTTAGTTTTGATTCAGTGTCCAAAAAAATGTTTTCTTTTTTCTGTTCTCTGTTCTCAATAACGGACCTTCGGGATAACATTCGAGCGATACGGCGAGCGGGATACGGGCGCTTCAAAATTTTCGCATTTCGCAATATTGAACCGATAGGACATCGGCAGCCATTTTGTCGGCCACCACTAGGTTTTTACTAGTACAATGGCTATAAAACTAATTAACTGTTCGAAATTTTGAGATATTGAGTTGAAATTATGGAGTTCCATCCGCAAATCGAACCTATTGAAACTTGACGTGATCGAAAGTTTCGAAGTATTTTTTAAAAATTTTAGAAAAAAAATGATTTTCTCGAAAACAGTACGTCATATCGAAAAAAATCTTGAACCTGAAGACGCTGAAAATTGGGCGAAAAAACCCGGAAAGAACAATTTAGTCAAAAATGTACAGGGTGTCCCAGTAATGGGCGAAAAACTAAAAATTGCCTTTTTTCGGAGTAAATCATTGACAAACCGACCCAAAAGGCACATTTTGATTTGAACGTCCTTTTCGACCGCGTTCAGACCTACAATTTGTGCATTTGCCGTTTTCGCGTATCGTACAGGGTGCGCGATGTACGGCCAGAAAGCGATTGGTTGGGTGCTCACAAAATATTGATTTGTTGCGGTAGGATGTTTAAATGACTGGAGTGAATCAAAAATCCTTCCACTAACCAAAAAAAAAACTCGAAACGGAATCGCTATGAGTATAAAATGTCTTTAAATTGTAAATAAACGCTATCGAACCAAAAAAAAAAAAATACTCACTCGTCAGTCCGGGTTCATCGTCGGAGAAGGTCAGGTATCCCTTGCTCATATCTTCTGTTCGCGCCGCGAAAATCGACTTGGTGGTGTTGTGAGGTCTTATCGACGCAGGTTCAGGAGTTTTACGTCCCACCTCGTCGTCTATGTCGCGTCCCTCACAAACACCGAATAACTTGGCGGTTACGGACACCACCGGCCTGGATTTCGGCCTGTGGGGCGGCGGCCTAACCGGCGACTCTTCCTCGTTCACTTTAACACCGTCCTCCTCCACTAAATCGACTCTTATCTCAGGCACAACGTCACTCTTAGGCACCGATTTCAACGACAACAACTGGTGTACCGCGTAAACTTCATCTTTGCGTTCAACGCCACTGAAAAATTCGCTAATAGGGGCGGGCACTGGCGGCGACTGACGCGGAACAATTTTGGCACTCTCGTTTCGGAAAAATAAAAAATATCCGCTAATAAAAAGCGAAACTTATAAGCGGAGGTTCGATTTGCCGGCACCCGGGCTCGTATCGATAGTTAATTGAGTCGATATTATCATTCAATGTACTTTCACACGCAGGACTACTGGCTGGATGCACGAATCGTCGCGTATTATCGCGTGTTTACCCCCACCGAATACGGTACGAAACCAGGTCGACGTTGCCAGATTGTGACGTTCATTTTCGAACGGGTTTAACAAAGTCTGCTTTTTTTTTAATCCGCTTTGCCTTTCGGTTGGTATATTGTACGGGCTTAACTGTTAAGTGCTACCAAGCAATTTTCTCGTACCAAATAATTAATATACAGTGTTGCCAATTTAGTGCGCAACATAGGAATTTTCTTTTTTAGTAACTGCGTAACTAAAATAACTTATTTCCAAAAAATCTCAAAACTGCTAATTCTAAGATAAAAAAAGTTTCGTGTTTGAAAAATATTTATACAGTGAAAACTCCCTATAGTGAAACTCTGTATAATGTAAAACTCTGTATAACGAACTTCTATACCGAAAGAACAAAGGACACACTTAGTGAATACGGCGAACATGGCGAGTAAGTGAAAAATTTTATCTCTGGATGATAAAGACGTCGATACGGACCGACTGTATCCACGATTTGGAAGAGCAAAGAAAAAATCATTCAGGCTGAAGCGGCAGGCAGTTCTATTAAAAAACTAAGAAAACCAAAATTTGAATTGAATGTTGCAGTGGTTCCAACAGAAACGTCTTAAAAATGTACCACTCTCTGGACCTATCGTATCACTAAAAACAGAAAAGTTTGCTGAACAGCTTTGCTTTGGGGAAATTCAAACAGAGACAGAAACGTCAGTAACGATTAGCTGGAGAAGATGTGGCCAAAACTAGCAGAAAAGGACTCTGCCGACGATATTTTTAATGCTGACGAAACTGGTATTTTTTGCAAAATGACGTCAGAAAAAACTCTTAAATTTCGAAGCGAAATGTGTGTGGGTGGAAAACTTTCTAAAGAACGTATAACAGTGTTAGTAGCTGCCAATATGAGTGGGAGAGAAAAAAGAAAGCTAGTCGTGATTGGAAAATCAACTAACCCACGATCTTTTAAGAAAATCATGCATATTTGCTGGTCACTTACAAGACAAACAAGTCTGCATGGATGACATCGGAAATTTTTGAAGAGGAGATACGGAAATAGGATGCAGAATTAAAGGGGAGGAAAATATTACTTCTCTTAGATAACTGCCCTGCAAATCCCCATATTCCAAATCTACGGAATATTGAATTGGCATCTCTTCCGATGAACCAGAGCGTTTTAAGAGTCGATACAGGAAAAACATTTTAATGGAATTTTCCATTAATATGTTAGATGCAGTCAACTTTATTAGTAAAGCTTTGAAAGAGGTGACAGCAGAAACAATTCAACACTCCTATCGTCATGCTGGACTTATTACCGAGACAGAATGCGAACAGGACTTGGAAGATGATCAGCCAGTAAGCTGTAGATGAAGCAGTTTGCAAGATTTTATGGTGATAGATCAGGATTTGCCTACAACAGCAGAGTTGACAAAGGAAGCCATATTACAACAAGCAAGAAAGGGTGAGGCAGAGCACCAAGAGGTAGAAGAAAATGAATAATTCGATTTGGGACCATCATCAACCATTCAAAAAAGCCCTATATTCAGTTAAGCTGCTAGAGAAATTTTATATGTATTATGGGAAAGGTGTCCCTCTCGAAGAAATGGTGAAAATACAAGCCAAAGTACGAGATGCGTATTGGCATACTAAAAAAATTCAAAAGGAAATGACCGATTATTTGAAACATTAAATGTAGTTCTTACATATTTATTTAAAATGTTCCTAAGCTAAAATATTTATATAAAATAATTAAATATTACAGAACACATATGCGTATTGTTATTTTTCAAGTGACTATAACTCTTTATAACGGAAAAAAACCCTTTAATTTCGCTATACAGAGTTTCGACTGTAATTTCCTTTTTGTATAGACATATTAAGATATCTTTATTTCATTCAAATAGCAAAATGTTTATTTTTTTTAGTTTTTGACAGAAAACTGTAGATATAAATTATTATCAACTAAATTAATCGCGAATATATGTGCACATTATTATTAATTATTAAGAAATTTTATTTCGAATGCTTCCTCCAAGATTATCTAAGTAGAGTTAGTTTTAATATATAATATAATAATATAATATAATCATTTCAAACAGTGTCTTTAGAATGCAAATATACAATAGGAATGAACGTAAAAATCCCAGAAGATCCACCGAAGAAATTAAAAAAAAAAGTCCTGTTAAGAAGAACCTCAGAAAAAATAAATATGACGAATATGAACCAAAATTTATTTGTACGTTTCAACTACGAGACTCTGATCTGCATGTGGATTCAAGGGCACAGGACGAGATGAGCGTGATTTCCATAAACACATATTTTTTGGAGACGAATCCGTGTTTACAACTAATGATGTTGCGTCTTTCCAAAATTGTAGGTGGTTATCCGATGAACAACAATAAAAACTAATAATAACGGTATTATTAGAGACAATTTTTTTCGTTTTCTTTCGGTCAAATTTAACTGGTGATACGTACTTAGATTTTTTGGAAATTTCAGTTTGAAAGAACTTCATAAATTATGGTTTGTACCTGGGCGATGTCTAAGATCTGTTGTTTGTTGTTGTTAAATTGTGTATGTATATATGCATGAGCACATTTTTGTAATAATTATTTAAAATGAAAAAATTGCTATTTAAATAACAAATTCTTAATAGGCCTATTATAATTAGCAATTCTTTGGCTACTGACATTATTTTTTAGGAAACGATTTTCAATTAAAATTTCTGGCCTATATGTTAGTGTACAACCAATAATAATATCATTATTTTAAATTCTGGGATGAATATAAATGTAATTTAAATATTTTCTTGGCCATGTATCTCTTGTATACTAATTTGATTCCATTTTATTATTATTAAGATTTCTTATTAAAGTTAAGAAAATTTATTTTTTCAATAGTAAATTGTTATTTAGAATGAAAATTAGAATTATAAATTAAAATTATAAGCATTGAGAAAATCATTTATATGATGTTTTTGGAATAGCTACTGAACGGTCACGAACAAAATGTTTGAAAAAAATCTATATTAAATTATATAATATTTTCTTTTAAATATTGCACCAACAGTGGTCAGCTTTATGGCAGACCATGTTTGAACAAGGTAAATTGATTACCGCAGAGATGTATCAAGAAATATAGGGAAAGAATTTAATTACTAGCATAAAAAATTATACCCAGCACAAAGCATGATGTCATACTCCTAAAACTACCCGAAATTGGTCCGAAAATCATAATATTCAGGTTATGCATGGGTTTTCCAGCTGAAAATTAATGAAGAATTCAAGCAAGAGGTGTCGTATTAAATTGTTAAATTGGTCTTAATAATATTAAAAATTATTTTGCCTCTATTTATTTTAATACATTGTTTATTTGTTATACACGTTTAACTTTTTATTCTCCAGCATAATAAAACACTCAGAAGTTGTCAAATATCCTATTTCGCGATAATTGACGAAATTGAGACAAATCTGGCAACGTTGCCGTGTTACGAGCCAGTTTGTCAGACGGACTGCCTTGATTGACAAATATTCCCGACGACGGAATCCACGTGACCCACGGCGCAGCATCCGCGCCAGCATGTGATCCTCTCGACGCGTTACCGTGTAAAAAGAAAAACAAATGCACGCGTTACGTAATATTATCGCCATAGGGAGCGATAAGAGCCACGGTTTTTCGAATCAGCAAACGTTCACGCAGGTCATGCAGTGATAACGACTTTTCGGATCACAAACAATTCGATATTAAACGTTTGGAGACGATTTGTGGAAAATTTTACGAGCCGACACAAAATTCGATTTCCCATCGTTGTTAGAAAATCGCATTCGATTTTTTTTTATAAAAATCGAATGTATTTTTTAGTGAATATGAATTTTTTAATGAACTTTTTCATTCTTGGGTCCAATATTTCCAATATTGATACTATGATTGACTAATAATTTTTTAAAAAATAAATAATCAATCAATCTCTTCTACGCCTGAAATTGCTCAAAGGTCAAATTGTCGAAAGATTTCTAAAATTTATCCCGAATACTGGCCATAAGGTTAAAGATATTGAAGATACTCTGTTAAGAGGTCTTGAGAATAATGGTTTAAATATAATGAAGCTTATATTCAGGTGTGCAGTCACGAATAAAAACAATTAATTCCATTCAATGATATTCCTTCAATTTGGTGGGAACTTGTGCAACTGAATCTGTAACCGAAGCAGTTGACTTTTTTTCCACTTTGCAAGAACTTTATAATTTTTGTACCATTTCAACAAGTTAAAGACTTAAAAGCTTTTCTCAAACTCGTTCACTTGCTAGACGTGATGCATGCTATGCATTAGAAAAAGAGTGGCCTGGAGTAATTGTCGCACTGGAAGTTATTGCTGAAAATAAGGATGAAAGACTCACTACGAGATCTGGAGCTAGGGGGCTGTAGCAAAAATTACAACCTCTAGAAACGGTAATTCTAGTCATTGTTTTAATGCTGCCAGTAAGAAGCTTCAGGGTTCTTAAGCTGATTTGTCATCTGTGATGGGCATTATTTTTACAAGACATGAGAGATAATCAATGCTCGCCGAATATGAAGAAAAAGCCAAAGCACTATCCGGAGTTCAAAATTATTATCGTTATGATACTCGTCGTAAAAGAACCCGGGAGATTAAGGCAGTAGAGTCAGGGGAGAATAAAAGAACACTTTTATCTGGAGAAGAAAAATTTCGAACCAACGCTTATCATCGGATGTTAGATACTTCAAGCATGCAGCTGGCAGGATGTGGAAGCGCTAATC